CCCAAGGTGCAACTTTGTCACAGATTCTGCATCTCAGCAAACCCTTGTGAGTATCAAGATGCTGGATCACAAAGGAGTACCAGAAGCTGTAAAGAAGCTCTGTGGTATGACAGGACATTTTGCAAGGTTGTGGGGACCACTGTGTGTAACTATTGAGCTCATAGGCATGAAAAACAGACACAAAGTATACTTGGCTGACATTGAAGATGAATGCATATTAGGATTGGACTACTTACTGCCGAGGAAATTTGTAATTAATTTTGATAAAATGACGTTTGGGAACAACAAAGGCCAAATTCTGGTAACTGTTAAAAGAGAGGTTAAACTAATCAGGTGTCATCAAGCTGAAGTCAATGTTACTGAAGGAGTTGATGATGGTGAAATGGAACCAGGTATAGATATCAAAGCAGAACAGGAGAAAGACCAAGATTTGAAGCCATTAATTGATTTTCTAAAAGCAAGTGTTTTGCACCATGCTTGAGAGAAGGTGTCTAGCTTAAGCCCTCTGACAAAGAACTATTGGGCACAATGGAACTAGTTGAAGCTTGAAGATGGTACTCTTCTCCGGAGATGTTAAACTGCAGATGGAAAAGTGATGACCTGGCAAACGGTTATACCGAGGAAGTTATGGGAAGTTGTGCGCATCAATCCCATGATACTGTAACAGGAGGGCATCTTGGAGTTAAGAAAACATTGAGTCACCTATGACACAGATTTTACTGGATAGGTATGAGACAAGATATGAAAGAATGGTGCAGAACATGTTGTGCTAAAAGGGGACCTAAGCATAAGGGACGTGCTCCAATGAAGTTATATCAAGTTGGGTCACCAATGGAGAGAGTAACCATTGACATTGCTGGTCCTTTGGTTCAAACTCGTGCTGGAAACAGGTACATTTATATGGTGATGGATTATTTCACCAAGCGTCCTGAGGCATATGCAATACTAAATCATGAAGCTACAACTGTAGCTTCGGCTATTAGTGATTTCTTCTTCAGATTTGGTATGCCATATGAACTGCATTCGGATCGATGCCGTAACTTTGAATCAGCTGTGTTCCATGAATACTGCAACTTGTTTGGCATACGAAAGACCAGAACAATGCCACTTCACCCAC